TGTGTGTGTGTGTGTGTGTGTGTGTGTGTGTGTGTGTGTGCTGAGGAAAGAGAGAGGGCCAGTTTGGGAGAAAATAATTCCTTTGTGGATGTTGGAGAGGGTAGGGTAAAATGTGGGATAATGTTCCTTCCCATGCTGGGAAGTACAAGCTGCAGATTTAAACTAAGAGGAAATAAAGAAGAAACTTTCAGTTGCATTTTCACTGGAAAAAGTCAGGACTTACTTCTGAGCCAAGTCCTGAAACATGCAGTACCCTTAACCTACTGGGAGGAAGGGGATTGCCCGGACGCTACAGTTGAACTAACTGCACTCAGTGGGCAACAAAGACACTATGTTTTGTGCTTGAGACATCAGCATCTATTGACTAGGGCAAGATATAATTCTGAAGCTGCCAAAGTGAGAGCAGCTCCCACAACCCTGGGGCCCACCCCAGAAGTTCCGGAGAAACCTCTCCTGCTTTCCAATGGTAAGGCTATTTTCTTCTTTTAAGACTTTATTTTTATCTCAGGAGCCACTCTTCTGACTGTTCTCATGACCCAGGGAGTTGTCTGGATTCTCTGGCTTTAGGCTTGTTAGTGGGGAAGGCTGAAGTCCCCCACATATCACAAATCAAGGTTCACTGACCTACTGGCAGACCCACAAGGGGATGAGGTATTCCTGGCTAGACGTTTAACATACCCTACTAAACAAGACGCTATACTTTTAAAGATTGTCTGATTTGGCGTTTTATCTGGTCTTGTCCTCAGAATCGGAGTTTTCTTAAGTGGAAATATTCTAGGTAGACACCTGTTTTTAATGCTTCCTAAGGATATGATCATATGAACGTCATTCAGGCTAAGTGAACAAGGAGCAGTAAGGGGAGATAGCCAGGCCTCAATGGTCTTCCACTTGGTCATGACCATGGATGGCCTAGAGCTGACAAGTGAGCAAGTCAGGAGCACATCAAGCTTACCACTGATGCTTTGAGGGCATAGGCTGGGGAGACTGGGACACAGCTGGAGCTATCAAACATGTAAATGGAGGTTAATACAAGTCACAACAGTAGATAATTTTGCTTATGAGAGAAGGGATTGGGGCAGGGGGGGAGGGGGGGAAGGGATGCAAAGCTTGACGCAATGTGGTTGGTAATGCATCAAATCTTCCTGGAAGCAGAGTTGGTAAATTCTTGACTGTGGAGGGGGAAAAAGTACCTTATTTCCTAAACATCTCATATCTAGAGGTCCATGTTTCATTAAACATTCCACTATCCCAGACAAAACCAGTCATAATTTTAAAGAAAAGCATAGAAATCACACAAAAACGTAAAAAGTGAGAATCTACAACTCTAGCAGACAAGGGGGAAAGAAAATAACTGGGATGGGGCTGTCTGAGGCGGTACATGAAGGGCTCTTTTAGTTTAGACCTTCCAAGTCTGTTGTTCCCCTATGTCTGCTCCAGGGCTTCCTGTTACATTCTTCCTTTTCAGGCTCCCTCGACTTCTCACCCTACACAGTACCCCCACAGCACTTTTCACTCCACCTTAAGATTTTTCTCTACCACATATTTCTCCCACTTAGCTCTTATCTCCCAGATATTTCCCACCTAGGCCTGTCTTTCCCTTCAACCTTCTCGACCAAACCCCAGGGTCCCTCGTTTTTTCCCAGGTACCTTCTGTGATTCCACTTTCTCTGCTCTATGCTTCTGTTCTACCCCAGCCATACCCCATCGAGAAACGTCACGCACGCCAGCGCCTGCCTGTCCTCGGTCCTCTGCCTTGACCCATCTCCCGCCTTTTTAGGACCCCTAGGTTTCAGCTACTTCCCCCACAATCCTGGGGCCTAGCGCCAAACTCCTGAAGCTCAATTTTCTCCCTTTGGTCCGAAGCCCACCGTCGACCCTCTTCACGCCTACCCCGCGCCCACGTCTTCCCTCGCTTCATGCCCAAGCCCCTCAGGCCCCGCCCCCGGCGGACAAGGCCCCGCCCCTGCGCTACGCCCAAGCCCCGCCCCTCACTCACCTGAGGCAGCTCCGCGCGCGCGCAGGCTGGGGGGGGGTGAGGGAGAGGGGACGGTATTGGGGGAGAGGGGGGCGGGGCGTTGGGGGTCCCCCACTCTGGCCCGGGCGGCCCAGTGCGGGGGGAGTGGGGGTCACTGAGGAGGTGGCAATGGGGCCGGTGCCGGGACCCGGACGCTCAGCGGCGGCGGCGGCTCCATCTCCATCAGCGGCTTCACCTGAGGAGGGACGGGCCCCCCCAAAAAGCCCCCCCCATCACTGCCGTCTCCCCTCCCCCGAACAACTTCCGGTCCCACTACCAGGCGACAGGCGGCGTGGCCGAACACCGAACGCCCCCAAGCCGGGGAGACTGCTGGGGAAAGAAGGGAGAAGAGCTAGGGGAGAGTAGCCGAGCGCCGAAAGATTCAAGTCAGAGAGGCGCGGTCGCATGCAGAGGGTAACTCAATGACTGCCCCTTCATCTGCATCTAATTTGCAAACGGCGCACATTGGACGGCACATCTGCACCTAAGGCCAAATTTTGCTCTTGAACCTCCTAAAACAATAATTGATTTTAACCTCTTAGCATTCTTTACCTTTCCTTCCGAGTGCATAGGAATTGTGGGGGGAGGGGCTTACGGGTGGCAAATTTTTAAAAATCTCCGCTCTTGGGGGCGTATCTTGAGCACCTCAGCAGTGCTGCCGATCCTGACAGACAAGAGAGAAGCCCTACTTGACTTCTCTGCACCTGTTTCTTTTCTCCCGTCCCTTCACCTCATGTTTCGGATTATCTCACTACACATCCCAGTACCAGTGCACCTCCCTCCTTCAACATGCTCACTCCCCAGCCTCAAGAGGTCCCAAAAGTTATAATCTTATTTGTTTTGTAGAGTTGTAGTCTTAAACAGATGCTTTATTGATATATTTAGAAAAGGAATTATAAAAGAAGAGGGTTGCACCCCTCACAACCTGACAACCCAGAGAGGCAATAGAAAGTTGCAATATATACCTTTCTTACACATATCCATACATTCTTTAAAGAATCCAAGAAAAGCAAAATGAGGCCTCAGTGGTGATAGGCATTAGAAGTGGAGGTGGGGTAGGACGAGAAAATTGTGCTTGTTTCCAGGCTTACTATTCCCACTTCCAGCCCCTTGCTCCAACAAGCTCTCACCATCTGGCATAGGGTCAGTGGCCAGAAGAGGTATGTAACAGTGGCAAAGGAGGGTGGTGCTTGCTTGGAAATGTGCAATATGTATATCTGTGTGTGGCTTAGGAAGGCATTGGACAGGGTTGTGATTCAAAAGTGGAGAGATGGAGGGAAAGCTTTTTCTGTGTTAATGAGGCTAAAGGATGGGTGTGGAAAGGGGTTGAGAAACTGGTTTGGGGGAGTAGATGGTTCCATTTCACTTTCTCATGGAGCAACACGGACATGGACACGATGCCAGGCATTGCTGAGCACACCTCGCAGGTTCCAGATTGGGGCCACGGTGTCTGGCTGCACATTGTAGCTGTCATCTACAGCCTTACAAACAATATTCAATTCTTTTTTCCCAGCTGGCACAGGGGCTTGCAGCTGCCATAGCCGCCAGGCCCAGGCCTTTCGGGGGCGCTGTTCCTCTCTATCCAGCTCAGCCACCTGCCAGGTTAGGCCCCCATCCAGAGACACATCCACCCTGATCACAGCCCTTCCACCACCACTCCATGCATAGCCCTTGACAGTCACTTCCCCTGACTCTACCATCTCCCCATCCTTGGGCTCTGTGATGGCCGACTGGACAGGGAGTTCCTGAATAGATGGAGCTGAGTCAAAATCTACAGTATCCCAGTCCACAGATGGAGAGAAGCCTTTGTAATCTCGCCGCTGCCAGTGGCTATAGCTTTCCTCTGGTTCCACACTCACTTTGCCCAGCCATTTGACATGGCGGGCACCCACCACACCAGGAACTACCACCCGCACAGGGAAGCCATGGTCACGAGGCAGAGGCTGCCCATTCATCTCATATGCCAGCAGGACCTCAGCTTCAGGGTCCATGGCCCGAGACAGAGGGATGGATGCTCCATAGGCAGTCCCTGTGGGGTCTGAGTCCAGCCCCTCAAAACAGACATGGGCCTCAGTTTCACAGAATTGGTGACCAGCCTTGGCTAACACATCACATAGTCGTGCCCCAGCCCAGCGTGCAGTGCTAATGGCCCCTATGCTCCACTCCAGACCTCTTACTTCTTTTAACTGACTCATCTCAGAGCGCCGGTTGCCAGCACACTGCAGAGTGACCGTGATCTCATGCTTGGGGAACTGGTACAAGTCATCCAGGGACAGAGACAGTGATTGACCTCTAGGTCCTACTATACGCAGGCGATAGGTGACTGGGTCCAAGTTAGGTACAGGCAGATGGTTCCGAGTGAAGAAGATAGGGTTGGGTGTGATGTAGTTTTCCGTCAGCAGCTCAGGGGGGGGCTCTGCATTAAAGGGGCGCTGGCTGTTGACCTTCAGGGCTGGGTGACGTACAGGATCATCAGCATAAGGGTCAGAGGTCTCCAAGGTGGAAGGCACCTTGTCTTCGGGGCTCAGCTCCCCGATCTTGTACTGAGCCAGTATCTCACGCACGTGGGACTGGTTGTGAATGGCATAGAGGGCCCAGAAGGGCTCTAGAGGACCCCCGGCTGCTAGCATCAGCTTTGATGACCCCCCTGGGTGTAGGTCCACAAATTCTGTGACATCAAAGACCTCAGAACCCAGAGTCACCCAGATCCTAGTCTCAGGGCTCCTGTGCGATTTTACTTCCTCCCTTGTGTATATGCGAGGCGACTCCTGAGCAGCCTGCAGGCAGAGGAAGGGGTGAGGCAAAAGGGAACAGAATATTAAGAAGAAATCATTGTAGCTTACCTTGAGCCAATTCACATAGCTATTGCCACTAGGAAATGGAGGTATCAGATTGCATCTCTACTGTGCATGAAGACAGTGTCACTGTGGGCTCTGTGGTAACAGCCTGGCTTGCCTAGCGAGCTCATGAGGGTCCCATTGGTCTGACAGTGAAGTCTCTTCCTTCCCCACTTACCCTGCAACGGTGGTCATGATAGGCCAACACTGCACCGAGGCCTAGCAGGGTCCCCATGATTCTCCATCCCCTGGTATTGCAGTTATCTCCAGAGAAGGTGAGGCTGGGGCACTGGGGCTGAAATGAATCATTTGTGGAGCAGGCCTGAAAGCACAGCCTTGATGGGGTAGACTTGAATCTGGAAGAAAGAGAGCTCTTCTTAGTAGCACACTTCTGATCAGTGAAGGCCTGGGATTTACTTCTCCCTGGTTGGCCACTGGTTCCTTCAGTTGGAATTTCGTTTCTCCGGGGATGGGTGGGACAAGTGGGATAAGGCTTTCTTTCCTTTCCCTTCCTGGCCACCACCTCAACTATCTTATCTGGCAGATAAGATATCATAAAGATACTGGGAGTGGGAGATATGGGCTAGGAGACAAGTCTTAGGATGGGGTAGCCTACCTGCAAGTCTGTCTGAGGCCCAGGACCACAGCTCTGTGCAGCAGCAGCATTGTGGCAGACCTGTAAGAGGAAGATTCTGGGAACAAGATAGGGATTCCTGGGAGGGGATGATATTAGGGCAATTTGCAGGAATGGGTGGGAGGAAGACACAGAGGATATTAAATGGGGAGATTTTTTCTGTGGTAATGAGGCCAAAGGGTAGGAGTAGAGGTCCAAAGAGGCCCTTAGAGAAAACCTGCAGCACTTCAGAGACAGACTGCTGACAAGACAAAGGGAATGGGGGTGGAGGGGAGATAGGAGTCTTCTAGAATCATCTATCTCCCATCCTATCCTCTACTTTGTCCACTACAGAGAACCATGTCTGGAGCAAAGGGCCTAAAGGGCAGTAGCCAAATATCTACTTTTAAGTTTGCTGAAATCAGGAGAGGACAACTGAGGGGCAGAACTGACTTAAACAGGGACAAAATGGTGAAAAGGGTAGTGGCAGCCTAATGGGGTGAAGGAGCTCAGATTCCGGAGTCAAAGTGATTTGGGTATGTAAAACCAGCCCTGCCATTAATTAGCCCTGTTCCCTGGGCAACATACCAAGCCACTCTGAACTTGCATCCTCATCTATGAAATGAGATCTACCTAGCAGAGCTGCTGTAACAATAATATTGTCTTTGAAGGCCTTTCAGTTCCCTCCTCTCTCTCCACCCACCCAAAAAAAAAAAAAAATTGAACCCAGTTGGAAACGATCCCAACCCGGGGTCCCCACCCCTACCTTGTCTATGCCACTACAGTGAGCTCAGCAAATTGAGGAGTTAATAGCCAGGGTGTCAGGGGATGGGCTAGAGAAGGAAGGTAATATTTCTACTCTCCCCTGCAGCAGTTTGGTCACAGCACTGAACAGATCACTGACCCCAGCAGGCCAAAGTGGGGAGGGGTGAGAAGAGGCCCTGTTCTTGATGAGATGTTAGATAGGATAGGGGCAGGCAGGGAAACTGTGAGGGAGATAGGAGTAGGAGCAGAGTCTGCATTTTAATCGTGGCTCACGGGCCTCTCACTCTCCCTCCCACCTGAGCTCAATCCCAGCAGCCCACTTGAACCAGACTGGAGAGGTGCAGGAAGGGCTGACCTGCAGGTGAACTCGGTCACAGTTCAATGTCCCAGGTTTTGGCAGAGGCAGCCTTCTGCTGCAAAACAGATGCCAACCCCGTGAGGGTGGTGGCCTCTCACTCCTCAGGGGCACTTTAGGTAGGATATGTCCAGCACCGGGGCACGAGCAACTGGTCCCATGTTACTACCCAGCACAAGTGTCTTGTGGCAACACCCCGCCCCTCAGGAGCACCTGGACAGCGGGAGTGGAGGAGGGTACTAGCAGTTTTGTTGTCCTTGAGTTTCGGAGCACCCTTGGGTGTCAAGGCCCCCGCCGTCGCCCGGGCCACCAGCCCTTCCTCCTCCTTTTGCTGGGCCCAGCACTCTTACCCCGTCCGACGCCCGCACGGCGGCTGTTTTACTTGCCGTGCACCCGGAGTCTGCTGGCAAAGGGGCGGGGCCAGCGTCGTGACGTTGGGCCCGAGGAAAGGACCACTCTAGCTCCCGGGTTCGTTTCCCAGCCATTGGCGAGCCTCCGGCCGCCCCCTAGCTGCTGTGCCCGCCTCCTGGAGGCCGCGGCTGGCGTGGCGCCTCCAGGGCTCGGCGCTAAAACAGGTTTCCACCCGCGCTGGACTCGGAATGGGAGCCTCACTGATGTTCGGAACCTGGGCAGTGGAAGGTGACGAGGACTCCAAAGGTTGGGCTGAGAGGTGGGAGACTTTGAGATGCCCTCGCCCCGCTGATACTCAAGGTGCGTTCACTGGAGACCTCGGGATCCAGCCCGCTGTCTGCTGGCGGTGAGATTCGCCTCTACGGTTTTTGACAAACATCTGTGTTGCAACTTACAACAGCCCTGTTTATCTTTTAGAGAAAACAAGATCAAGCTCTCCATTCTCTTATATCCAGGAATGAGAGCAGAAACGAAGCATAAGTAGTGGTTTAGACTTTGCGATTCCTTGGACTAGTCGAATTTTTCCCGAAATTATGGAACCAACACTGAATAGCCATCTTTTTTATTTTGCTTAGTTAAGACAATTTTTAAAAATCGTCGTTAAACAAGAGAAATGACAGTTAACACCCCAAATAAGTAAGGTTATAATCGCTCATAATTTCAGAGTAAAGGACACTAATAGAAATCATTTTTTATTACCCTTTTATCATTTGGTGCAGAACTGAAAACTTGTCATTGGCTGGCTATGAGCCTGGGGCAAACGTATCTACACTGCCCTCTAGCGAGCAGAAGGTTGAGATACAATCTTACTCACTTGAAGTGAAGGTCATCTTTAATTTTGGAAGATTGTTTCCCCTCCCTTTCTGCTCTCCTAGATTAAACTCGAGCTTTTACCAGGAACCACGGAGCCATTGGGGCGGTGGGTGGGGAGGGTTACTAAGAAATATATATAATGGGGAACTGAAAAGGTGATTTTGGCTCTATTAAGTTTTTGGAAATAGATTTCCAACTTAACTGTGTACAATTAAATCATTGGAGAGGCGTGACGCCGGACCTATCTTACCAGTCTTAAAAAACAGCTCAGCCCAAGGATAAAGAGAACTCAGTTGGGAACTGTCTGAAGCCCTAGGGATAAGACTTCTCACTAAGTGTCACCACCTCCTGTGTGCTACACTCATGCTGTACATAATTGACTTTTAAAATTTCAATTTTTATTTTACAGAAGAAGAAACTGAGGCACAGAGCAGTTAAGTAACTTGATCAAGGCCACTGCTGGTAAGTTGACAGAAACAGGACTGAAATGCCAGGTCTGTCTGGCACCAGTTCTCTTTCATGTCCTTCAGATTCTATGGGATTTAAAACTCCTGTAAACATACCTAATCTTTTCTCTGTATCATTCTCCCCAACCCATCTCCACTTAGACTGTGATGGACTGAAGGGCTTCATGTACAATAGGAAACAATAACAGATCTAGGAAAGTTTTCCTGTTGGGGTAGAAACCACATGATCAATCAAAAATGCTAGTTCAGTGATTTTTTTTTTTTAAACTTTCTTTAGGTCATGGTCCCCTTTGCGATACTAATAAGGCAAAGGACCATCTCCCTGGAGAAATGCACATACATTTTTGCATAAACTTTTCAAAGGAGTCACAAGTTCCACCTCTCTCTCCGGTCTCATCAACTGTCTGTCCAAAGGTCCACAGACACCCTCCTTGCCCCCAATATATACATTCTGTTAACAGGGCCTAAAAAAATTAGCTTATAGTCAGATTTGATGAGCTCTCTAGTGGTCTGGGGAATAGGAGTGGTTCAACAGCAATAAAGGGGCTATTTTCCAAATTGGGTTATCTCACTATTAAAGCAAAAATTAAAGGGAATAAGGAAGCACCAAGATGCAGGGGAGAGTGTGTTTCTGATTCAATAAAACATCACTGGGTGCCCTTTCTTCCAAATTTCTACTATCTGACAGACAAAAGAAAAAAAAAAAAGAAGCAACACTCCAATACACTTTTCTTTTTTTTTCCTTTTTTACTTACATTAAATATATTGGTAAATCAGCAGTCGCATTCTGTTACCACGATTGTTATGTTGGAAGAGGAAGAAAGGGGAAAAAAGGCAAATGCTTTCTTAGAAGAAAAAAAAGAGGGACCTCTCCCCCCTCCCAAAAAAAAACTGATCAGAAGAAAAAAACATGAGGAGCTAGGAAATAAAAACTTAGATCCCCAAGCTCAAAGGAAAGCAAAAGAGCTGGTAGGCAGTAGAAGGAAGGCAGCAGAAAGGCCCAGAAGCTAAGGCCATTCCTATTCCTAAGGGGCAGGAGAGGGGAGAAGAAGCCTGGAGAAATGGTTTCCCAGCCCCAAGGCAATGAAACATCCTCACTCCTACTCCACAGGGAAAGCTGCACAGAGAAAGAACTTCATTTCTAAGAGACTTAAGAGAGCCATCCTAGTTCTTCCACTTGTAAGGACACACTGGGTGCTGTTGGGGGCTAGTGGGTGCTGGAAAAGGAAAGGGAAACTGTGTGTTTCAGGGCCATGGGAACTAAGGCTGCCCCTGGGAAAGGAAGGGAATTGAGGCCTAAGTGGAAAAACCTAAACTGGGTCCTTCAGAATCTCAGCTTCATGGATTTCTCAGCTCCTCTGGGACAGAAAAAAGTCTACAAGCCAAAAGGGCAGAAAGGTTCCAATCCTAGGTCACTGAGGCCTTTCCTATCTTACTTTCACTAATTTTCCCAAAACCCTAGGCTAGAACAAGGAGTTTAGAGTTCTCTCTTGCCTTGATGGCTTCCCAAAGACATCCTAAAATACCTGATGAGGGATGTGAAGAGAGGCTAGAGATTTAGAAAGGACCAATGGCCTCTGATGATATGAGACAGTTGTGAGGGACCTTCAGTGCCAGTTTGTTCTCTGTCCACAGGAACAGGTATTATGATATGAGGGGGCCACAAGTAGGTCTCTGTGGTGCTAGCCCCTAGTGGTATGTGGGTTAAACCACTGGTTGCATGGGGGATTGATACAGGGACAAGTATGGAGGGACTAAACTAAAGATACTAACAAAGGAGAAAAGAAATAGGGCCTGATGGGAGGTGGGGGACAGAACAGACTGTACAGTGGGAATAAAGATCTTACCTATTTACAGGGAAGTAGAAAAGACATGGTAATGGGTGGATCACATTGAACATGAACTCTGGGAAAGGAGAGAAAACTCCTCCCTTTTGCCTGACTCCTCTTCACCCCCTACCATGACCTGTTGCTGAGACTGCTCTCCAGTTGCTTCAGTTAATTTCGCAGGAAAGGCAAACCTATACCCAGAGCTAGATTGGCAAGAATATAGGTTAAGAATCAGAGTTGGATGAAGCTAGCAGTGGAGATTGGGCTTGAGTAGCTGCCACTGGTAGTTTTCTACAGTCTCTCCCAAAACCTCATATACACCTTGGATTCCATTTAATTATAAAGGTGAGAGGGCAGGTAAATCAATCAAAACCCCCATAAAACAAGTATCCCAACTGAACTACCATCAATTAAAGTGCAAACTGCAGGGGGAAATAGTGGCTGGGGCTGAGGCCATCCAAAGGCCAGAGAGAAAAAAAAAATGCATGTGTATAAATCAGAGGATGGGTATAAGAAACTGGTCCCTCCTCCAATTAGATCACAGCACAGCCAAAGATGCAGGCAACCAGTGAAGACTCTCTGGAGGATTCTGGGGTCTGGAGTCTCCCCCATACGGGGGCGGGGAAGCTACCGAGAGAGGCTGAGTGAGGGAAGCTAGGCCTTGGAAGGGTTCCAGGGCCACAGAAGACACTGCTTTCCTCTTCCACCTCCTCCTCCGCCCAGTTAGCTAACAACATGACTCCCACTTGGTGCCTGAGAGCTTTTGCCTTCCCATTCTCACTCCACCTAGAAACACCCTCCACAAGACCAACTCATGGATACTGCAGTGTTTTTAAATATGAGAAAACCAAAAAGGAAATGTTTCCTTACTCTCTCCTGCTCTGAGCCTTACTCTTCCCCAGGGCCCTTATTGGGACTGAACTGGAAACCTCCTTCCTCAGTTCCTGGGTTCACCACTTTCTCCATCCTGGGGAGAGGAGGAAAAAGGAGATCAAGAACAGGGATTGACCAAAAGCAGAAGGGGAAGGGCTGAAGACAAAAAAAAAAAAATGCTTTCTGAAAAAATGGGGAGGAGGAAAGATAAGTAGGTCACTGTCTTGCACCTATAATACAAAGTGAAGAAAGTTTGTTTTGGAAGGTAAGTCCTGGGGGATGTGACCCTCAAGCCCCAGAGTAGGGGTAGGAGGCCAGTGGCAACAGCTGCCTGGTGTTGGTTGCTGAAGCGTTAAAAAGTGCCATGACGGAGCTGTCAGGAGGCAGCCCTTGGGAGCCAGGGCTCAGTGTGCTGTTACCGTAGGGGCTGTGTGCTGAGGGGTAGGGAAGGAGGTTATTTCTTAGCTCTCGTGCTAGCTCCATACTTGTTTGCTGCTAGCCACCCCCTCAGTTGCTACAACACTGGCTCTTGTTCTGCTGGGACTGCTCGTGGAGATCCACACCTCGGCTTCGGCCCGCTGCACCCCCCAGATTCTGGGGTTCACTCTTTGGCAACTTCTTAGCTAGAGATAAAAAGAGAAGGGAACAAAGTATGGCAGATTTTACTCATCCCCCCAAAAAAGATTATTGGGTGAGTGAGAAGTAGGACGAAGACAAAATGTGAAACATTAAAGAATGTTCTGAAGAGGGGAGGGTTCACTGTAAACTACATTATTAAAGATGGGGGGCTCAAGCTGCAGCTAAAGGATAGAGGTCACAATGAAAAGGTAAAGTATTTTTATATCCCAAGTTTGCACAAGAGAAGACACTCCCATCTATCCTTATGACTTGGGTTAGTGATTTTGCCTAGAGGCATGGGAAAAACACAGGAAGAGCTCAGTCTGCTCTGACCTTACCTATTGCCAGGAAGAGATCGTTCACGTTCATAGCTGTCTTGGCTGAAGTCTCCATAAACAATAAGCTGTTGTCATCTGCATACGCCTGGGCCTCCTGCAAGGGGTGGGGTGCAGTGGTGCTAAGAATGTAGGGTAGGTACAAGTGTTGCCTTTCCACTTAGCACCAGAGCTAAGCAACATCCTAGGTTCCTTCCCTTTAATTACCCCTCTGAGCCAGCTGGCCCTGGACCCATATTTTGGTGACAACTCCCTCAAGGATAACCCATGGTCTACACCACTTAATGTAACAAACAGAGATAGGAATCTTAATTATGAGAAAGAAAGTAAGCTGGTTGGGGGCTTTTGGGTTCTGACACTTGAATAGTCCCTTATCTCAAATTCAATTGCTCCCTCCTTCCTGTTTTCACACTGGTAGCCCAGCAGCTGATACTCCCTACCCCTCTGCACTAGAATTTTCTTCTGACTCCTCTAAAATCTCCTGGTTGTCATAAGGGTCACAGTGTTGCTGTATTTAACATGGTGCAGAATTGGGAAATGAGATGATGAATGTCCTCAGATGAGGTTTCCAGAGGGCAGGTTTGGATAAAAAGAGGTCCCGAGCACAGGGGAAGTGTGTTAGGGAGGGACTCCATGGGCCATCTTACTTCATACTCCACCATTCGCTTGTTGGCCAGGTCAGCTTTGTTCCCCGCCAAGGCAATAACAATGCTAGGACTGGCCTGTCGCTGTAGTTCCTTTACCCATGTCTTCGCTCGGGCGAAGGTTTCCTATGAAAACATGAGGAAGAAAATGGGTGGGCTGAAATGACTGTCAATCCAGGCCCGTGACCTTCAAAACTCTTCAGGCAGCTTGCCCTCACTGAAACCCCCATCTCTGATAATTCACTACCTCAGTCTTCTCAACACTTGGAAGTATAATCTGCACTCTTTTTTTGCTATTTCAAGAACCCGCTTTCTTTCTCCCACCTAATTTAATTCCTATAAATAAAAGCAAGGATAATCTTCTCAGCCCACTTACCTGATTAGTAATGTCATAAACCACAATTGCAGCTTGGGCACCTCTGTAGTACATGGGCGCCAAACTATGGTATCGCTCCTGCCCAGCTGTATCCCAGATCTCAAACTTGACTGTTGTGTCATCTAGGCAAACAGACTGGGTGAGGAAGGCCGCTATGGATGAGAGAATGGAGGAGAAATTGTGAGAGGATGAATGGGAACAGCCCACCCCCTTCAAAATATCTCCACTCTTAGTCTAAGACCAGACACAACCCAGGCTATTTAGTTACAAGAAAAGGTTTACTGTTCTCCTTTTTATATATAGGTCCTAGAATCAGAATTAAGACCTCTATTGGCTAAGTCCTTCCTGCTAGAAGTTTCTCTAAGGAATGGGCACATATCATAAACTATGAGGGACAGAAAGAAAGAGAGAAATACCAGTCATCCCTCTTCTAACCAAAACAGAAGAATAAGAGATAATGACAGATAATAAACTTCAGGTAAAAGTCACATCAAGAACTGATTAGAAGATTTTAAAGCTTGACGGGAGGTCCCATCATTATCAATGTTATTTGGCTGTTACTATTTCATATAATCTTCTGCTGGTTCCAGAACACAACATTTCCAAGATGACTAGTAAAGGTGAGGAAGTAGTAACATGGCAGTTCTCATAAAAGATCCTTTATTGAATTAGCATCCTATTTTGGGGGTAGTGGCAGGGAGAAGGTAGCAAAGGTGGGAAAGGCAGATGCCCTTTATCTTTTGTATTTAGTTTCAGCCTGTTTTACCAGATATGTGCATCAGAATCATCTAAGGAGCTTTTCCAAACTCACATGCCTAGCCTATACCTTTGCCAATCTCATTCTACCTCCAATACTAATCAGTAGATCTAGGGTAGGGCCCAAGCATGCACAGGATGAAAATGCTCCCCAGATGATTCTGATGTGCATCTCTGATTACAAATCACTGCTCCAAACCAACCCTGTTCAAGCCAACACTCAACTGAACTTCACTGGGATTAAGATGAGAGTGGGAAGAGGAAGACAGATGAAAAATTAGTGATTTTACTGGTACACAAAGGTCAACCTTTCTTACTTTCTTCTAGGAAGCAAGAGGATGAATATACACCTGCTTTTTGGCATTATGATTTTTTTTGTTTTTCCCTGTTTTATAAAGGATTTCTATTCCAGGGAGCTAAGAGAGCCAGCTTCACAGTCAGGTCCCTAGATCTCCCTTCAAAAGCCATACTAAGCATTGAATCTCCTTTCCCTGAGATACTTACCTCCAATGGTGCTCTCCTGGTATTCATGGAACTGCCCTTTGACAAAACGTAATACCAGGCTAGATTTCCCCACTGCAGATTCACCCAGCAGGACCAATTTGAACTGGCATATTTTGCTGGCCTGGGGCTGCCCATTGGGCCTGGCTGTGCTTCTGCTAGTCATGGCTAGATTATAAGAGTGGGAAAGGGTGGAGGGAAGGGGATGCCACAAAGCGGCAAAGGGGGAAGGGGGGAGGGGAGGGGACTTCCAGGCTTCAACAGTCCTGCAAGAAGAAAAGTGGTAAAATTAAACATAGGGCCATTACAGCTACAATCACTTTTTAGACAAAGGATAGACTCTCGTTTCTTTGCTCCTATGAGATTTAACTCTTACAATCATCCAGCATTAAACAGTTATACCACTGAGAGGGTCCCAGACAGCTGACACTTAGTAGTATAAGTGGGGAACAATAAGAATTACATCTGAAGTCGCATTTGCCCTACCATATAATACATAATCCCCAACTGCCAAGGAAACTGAAATGGAGAGACTGAAAACCGAGAGAAGTTTTTCATCTCATTAATTTCCCACCAGGCCTTTAAAGAACAGTAAATTGATCAACTTTTAGTTGGCCTGAAAAACACCCGGATACACCAAGTACCCTAGATCTCCAGTACGTCCTTGGTATCCTGGGGCTGTCCTTTTTCTTCCCCTGCCCCTTTTTTTCTAGTTTTCAAAATGAGAGATTCACTCTAGGGGTGTGGGCTAAGTCACCCCTCCTAAGAGTAGAGAGGTTCTGTATCCTTCAATATATGAACAGTCTTCTTGACATTTCTGAAAATCTAACCAGTGTCCAATTGCCAGAAAATCTATCCTTTCTCATTTCTGGTCAAAGGTGAGTAGAGAAACACAATCAACAAACCACATTTGGTGTCAACTCTCTCACTTTGCTTCTGCCACCTCTCCATGTCTGAAAGTCTCTCAAGTGTAAGAGTCAGTAGGCTTGACCTGCTCTCAACTTGCAGCTGTCTTCCTGGTGCTTAGGGATTAGCCTGCCCTCCACACTAAATGGGCCTAACAGCTGTAACCCTCCAAAATAGAGGCAGAGAAAAAAGGTGTACCTTCTAAACACATGCAGGAGTCTCCAGAGGATGGTGTAGGGGTTAAGTCTTCAAGCAATAAATATTTGATGAAAAGAATAAACTGAACGACCTTCTCTACCTCCCAAGAGGCTAGGAAAGCTGGTGGTGGAGGAGGAGACAGAGAGAGAGAAGTTGGGATTTTGGGAGTCTAATCATCCAAACCTGAATATATTTCATCAACCCGACTCTGAGGGGAAAGGAATTATGAGATTCAAAGTAGTTAGTATGATCAGAGCATGCAAAACCTCTTTCTAAAACCTAAGCATTGCTTGGGTTGTAGATTGCTTGTTCAAATTAATCTTCCTTTTCTCCAAGGTTGATTCTAGTGACTCCACAAACATCATACCCTACGGTATATGTAGGGAAACGTTTTGTCACTATAGCAAGTTGCTTTGGAGTAAAATCAGGGCTAAAAATCTCTGCAATCCTAGTAAAGACAGAAAAATCATACAGGAGGCAGTGCAGAGGAACAAAGACTGTGGAGTCCAATTCACTGGGTTTATTTTACAGTTCTGCTTACTAGCTGTGAAACTTTGAGCAAGTTACTAAATCTTATCTGTGCACTCATTTCTTCATCTGTAAAATGGACAATAGCCTTATGAGCACCTACTTCTTAAGGTTGTTGTGAGGGTTAAATGAGATAATACATATAAAGAACTTATTTGGCATAAAGTGCTCAAATTAGATTATTAAGCTACTGATTATTACTAATATGAAAGAAAATTTCTCTGCCTGACGCTTACCTTCCACTTTTATAAAATGGAAAAAACACCTGCTTCATTGAATGGCTATGAGGATTAAGTAAAAGATGTATTTAGCATAGTGCTAATAAATAAGATAGGTATTGTTGTTATTTAGTGTCCCTGATTGACAGAAAGATCAATTTAGTATACTAAAGTATAATTCAGTATTCGTTATCCATATATTCCTAAAAAGCAGCCATGAGAAAAAACAAAAGTATAAAAAGAAAGTTAGAGGAATGAGACAGAAGTGAGAACTCAGGAAAGTCCCAAAGTTGACTAGAGTAGGACAGAGGAGTGGAACAAATCACTCTGATCCTACTGGGTATTCTGTAGTCCCCTAGGCCCGTGAGTCCTAAGAATCCAGATATACATGTGCCATTTTGTGATGAAGTTTTCACTGGTCTATGATGAAATGATAAAAATAAAGATGATATAGCACGTCTTTCATAGAGCTAAATTTATTCAATTGAAGAGTTTCCTTTATAACAAGATTTTTAACTTCTTTTTTAGAATCAGTTTTCTCTTAAAGGTAAATATATATATTTCATAGGAAACCTCTATTGTGAAGCAAAAAAAAAAAAAGTTGTAGAACAAAACACATGGTTGGGTCCTAGCAATATAAAAAACAAAAACAAAATTCTGCATAGAAAAATGTATGGAAGGATACACACCCGTCTGTTAACAGTTGTTACTTCTGAGAGTGGGATTGAGGAAAACGGTATGTGAAGGATTCAGATTTTTTTCATTCTACATAATTCTTTTTAAACAGGAAATATATATTTAAAAAGTTTTCAAAACAACTTTCTTTTTAATGCCTTAAAAATGGTGTTGATAGACAATTATAAGCCTTCTAAATATCCTTATTTGGAAAGATAAAACTCCCCCAATTTAAATTAATTGGTCCATGAAATCCAAAATTCTGGGAACCAGTACTGCAAGAATCAGTATTAATTAGCTACTTAACCAGTGTCAGTTCTTTAGCTTTTTTTATCCTCAAACCTTTAAAGCAGTGTTTCTCAAACTGTGGCAGTAAGCCAGTAGTGACTTTGAAATCACTTGGTGGATCATGATCAGTATATTAAATAATAATAAGTGTATTGCAAATAATAAGGGTAGGACTCACTTTGTGAAAATATTTCGTGTATGTACACACTCTGAATTAGGATGTAAATTTTTGTAAAAAATATGAGTTGTGATCAAAAAACTTTTAAAAACACTGCTTTGGAGAGGCCTGACACTGAAAGATGGGTTAGTAGGGATGGGAGGAAGTCTAGTCTCTGGTCAGCCTATAGGCCATGGTTAATTTCACTCCTACATGAAATGAAGATGAGGGCTAAGTACACCTCTCCAGGGGTCGAGGATTCTCCAACCCTGCTATCAAAGTTATGGAGCAATTATGAAAATGCGAAGCCAAACTAGACGACAGGCTGTACGGGCTTTGGAATTGGGCAAACCTGAGTTTTATTCTCGCTTTGCCAATTAACCCATTGTGAGCTTAGGCTATTCACGCCCTTTCCCTTTCTGAGCCTCTGCTTCCTTATCTACAAGGATTGGGCTGGAGGGGATAGGTGAAAGCAAAGAGCAAAATATGAATTCAATTCCAAAGTTCTGGGTACATTTAAGAAAATTGTTTATCTTAGGGCTTCTCACCATCTGTGAGGATGAATTATTTTTAAAAACATGTTTCTGTGGCACTTCATATATATTGTTTCATAGAAAAAGAGGATGGGCCATCATAAAACTTTACACTTTAAAACAGATGACACCACAGGGGAAAAAAGAAAACTAAAGATGATAAGCTGATCAAGTTCCTTTAGGTGACATACATATATTACACTTTAAAGAAACAACAGGAAAGTTACTAGATTTTCCAACTTATTCTCTCACATTTTTATCTATTTCAAAGCATGTGATCCAAAGGGCAGAACGCTAAGCTTCAATATTACTACCCCACAAAATGAAAACATGGGAGTTAGAATGGCTGAATTCTCATGGGCAGACACATCACTCTAGGCCTGGGAAAACAGTAGGAGTTGGGGAAGTGTGAAAACAGGAAAGTCACAGACACACTCTGGGTTGCAAAGCCCTTTTCACTAACCCTAGAGAAGCTAAGTCAAGCCAGAGCTCAGACATGATCAGGAAACTTTCTTGCTACTAAGCAACCTTGGATTATCAGATATTGGTAACGACTGGGTTATAAAAGACTACCTCCCATCCCCATGTGTCACCCTCAGTATGTCCTACCTTCCCTGTTCACAGTAATTGATGAGCTGCCCATCTCTGTGCCTTGATCTTTAATCCCAACATGTTTATAAGGGTATCATGTTTTTTATGCAATACTCATAGCTATATTCTCAAAAGATCAGGGGTACAGGAATGAAATAATATGTTTAAGATTCAATTGATTTCTCCCCTATTCCGGTGGTGATTTTTTGCTAAGAGTTGACAGTGGGCAAATGATCCATTCAAAGGCAAAGGATAAACCATAGTCAACCAGTCAAGTGGTGTGATGAATACTACCTTCAAACCTGAGGCCAAAAAAGGGGGGAGGTTATTCTTTCAATCCTTTGTTCAGAAGAGAAGAAATCAGATTTAACTTCCCTTAGAAGTACAGCTCCACAAGAATGGTTTATCAAATGACCACTAACTAGGGAGGACTGAGGCTTGACCATGACATCAGCCCAATGGGGAGGTGAAGGGGCAAATTCTTTAGTGTGGGCAGCTCTCTTCCAGCAGCGTAGGAACGTGTGAATAGGAAGGTTTCTCAGCCTGCCAGTCCCAGCTAGCGCAAGACTCCATTCCTCCTTCCACGTGGTAGCTTTGAGTCCCTATGCCAACTACATATGAAACCTCCAGAAGTCTATCACTTATCAATAGAGACAGAGTTCCAATAGAGACTGGAGTCTAGCCCATTCCCAAATGTCAGCCCCATAAAGCCTGTTTGCCAGATAAAAGGCAGTCTAGAGGTCATCTAGTCCAGTCTCTGTATTTTACAGGCGAAGAAATCAAGGCACATAAAATTAATGAACTTGCCAAGTGTCACCATACAGACAGCTTTCACACAACAGCTTAGTAGCAAATCTCCTTCTAGCAAGTACTCCTGGTCAGGTACTCTTGCTACTATTATACCACTATATTTAAGGAAGCAGGAGATGCTGAACTCTTAACTGAACCCTGAAGAGGACACCAGGACAAGAACAAGAGCTTAGATTAGTTTCTACCTCTCTATTCAATTTAGATAAGTACTTCCTTTGGCACTAAAAAGTTAGGAAGACCTAGGCCTTCCCTGGGAACTGGGATCCAGTCCCATATCCCTCTGACAAAAGGACTCATTATTATGCCTTTCTAGGTCTTGACCGACACCTGCCAGGATGGTTGAAATAAGGAATGTAATGGAAGGTGCTAAGAAAGAAGTGGTAACTTTTGCAGAATTCAATGGGCCTTGGGATTAATGTGAGGGATTTACTGAGTAGGTAAGATAGATAGGACAGAAGCAAGTAAATATCTTCAACTTTCCAACTTTGTTTAGACCCCAAATTACCAAAATCTTTGAGAGTTCCACTATTTGGCTCAGCTCTTTCATTGTGTTGATCCAATGTTAACCAATGAGTCACTTCCCCCACCTTCTCTCCTATATTTCTCCAAGAGGCAAAAAACATGCTTATCTCTCTCAGCATGGTAGTACAAACTCCCTATTATTGACCTAGGAAAGACTGGAATGCCCTTCCCCACCTTGTCAGCCCAGTAAACTCCTAATGTATCTTTTTAAGGCCAAGCTCAAATGTCACATTCTCTGTGAAATTGCAATAATTACCCTCTCACCCTAGCAATATTCATCACTGCTTCCTCTGTGATCCAATAGTAGTAAGACTGTACTCTTATCACATCATTTATTACATCACGGGAGTTGTGTCTGTCTGCTCTGCTAAACTATGAACTTCTCAAAAAAATGTGACTATTTTTTTATGTCATCTTGAATCTACAGAGCAGAGCAGAATGACTGATCACTAGTAGGTGCTCATTAAATACTCCCTAAATTAAGGCCAAAGCAATCCTCCTTCTCTCCTCTATGTACTCCCTCCCCCTTCATGCCATCTGGAGAGCTTCTTATTCAGTTCCATTTGGGAATGTTTTTAACAGGCCTCAGAGAACCAATTCCCTCTCTGGCCTCTTCGTGATCTCCCTTGAATGGAGGGCCCCCTTGGGACCCAGCCCACAAGGTACTGTTGCAACTCACATGGGCTAACTGCTTTTCCTGTCACCCGTTACTATGCCTCAGATGGCCTAATCACACCCAATATGCGGCCCTCCCACCCTAACGCTGAAGCAACTGTGGCTAAATACAAAGTTCCCTGAATTTTCGGTTGACGTTAAGTATTCACAAATTTTGGGTCATTATCTCTATTAATTTCTGAACTTAAGAAACACACAAAAAAACAAAACACAACTATATCATCACAGAGCTGAGCTTTAGAATACTCCAAAAAGGTACCCACTATGACCAAACAGAAGCTCCAGCCTGGCCCAGAATTCTGCAGACTTTGCTCACCTGGGTGGCTCTTTACGCAGTTCGGTTACTGTTCAGTCAATGACTAAATCTTTCCTAAAACACCCTTGGGAAGTGGGAGTGTATTGTGTGGGGTTTTAAGGTATCCTTCCTCCTAAAGGGCTGTTGCATTTCCTTATTTTAAGTTCATTGTCTCACACTTTGGTTACTTTCCAATCTGAAATACCTTAAGAATAGGAGCTATATACACTTGCTTCTCCTACTTTATCCCTCCTCCGAAGTCAAATTCATATTGATGCACACAAACAAGCAAACTAGAGAAGAGCAATCCTTGCTCCTGGGCAAAGTAAGAGTTAGAAGATAACACATGGCTTCAAGGGCAATGGGAAAGCCCTCTTATCCAAATATATTTTTGTAACTCCAGGCTTATGTTTGAATTCTATATTGATAATTCCACTCCTTAGCTCACTCTTATGAAACAAAACCCTTGGAAGAATTAATACTTTTAGGTGATTATTTGTTATTTACGCCTTAATGTGGAGATCGTTTCTTAAAGGTAAGCTTTGATTAAGGGGAAGGTGGAGAGGCCAATGGCAGTGTACAGAGGATTAACACACACACACACACACACACACACACACACACACACACACACACTCCTACAATTTTCTCTAGAACTAGCTTTGCAGGAGAGGAAAAAAAGCTCCTGCGGGGACAACAATTGAGGTTTCTGAGGGCACTGTACAAAGACTGGGCACATTAGAAGGCTTCTAAAGCCAGTAAGGACAAACACAATGAATGAATGAGGTGGTAGAATGAAATGTCCCAGCTGTACTGAGGTTTGGAGGACAACTAATTTCAAATCCAGAGAAACTTGGAAGCTTCTCACAGACAGATACAAGGGCCCCTTAGGAGAACCATCATCTTCTTTTGGGATAATGAAGGGACAGTCATAGAATCTAAACACGCAGAGACCATGAACCAGAAGATAGAGGTCTCAAATTCCTCACATTAGCAGAGATGCCAATAGTTATTCCAAACAAAATGATTCACCTTAATGTTTCTTTCCTGCCCATAAAAAAGTTTTGGCCACAAATTTGGGCATTTCCTAGGACACCCAGTGCACAACTGGGGTGTACGTGTGTGTTTAAAAAGGTGAGGGATAACCCAGCGTACAGTACTGTGCTTGTTCAAATTTGACAGAAGACAAAAAGAGCTGTGAAAGGAGCCAATAAGTAACAGAGTATCATCTCAGAAGGGAAAACTGTGAAAAGAATGAGAGACTAGAGTTTGGTGGGAACAGAATTGAAAATGAACCGAAATGAAAACAGAATTGCTTTTGGTTACACATCCCCCAAAGCAAAGCAAGATTAGTCTGATCTGCTGCTGTCTCTTATCTCTGACCTTTCTGGATGAAATGTAAATGAATGAGGTATGTGTGGGAGGACTTCCACTTTTTACACTTCTGTACAGCTTGAATATTTTTAAAAATGTATATATTCTGAAATTAAGAAGAACTGTAGTTATAAAATACATTGGTATAAAAGGGGCAAAGGAGGAAGTATAATAAGGGAAAATCCAATAAGCTCCAATCTATGGGGGGTCTAAGAAGGCCAGCAGACCATTAAAAATATATGGGAGGGGACTCCTGTGCTTTAGTGATCCATCTCCCTTTTCTGTACTCATCCTCTTCCCCAAGTGCCTTACTGTTTGCTATTTCTATGGCACAGAAACATGGGCTCCTAAGAAGTAGACAAAGAACAGGGGTGATGCCAACCTTCTGGAATGGAATTTCTCTTCCCTAAATCTCTTCCTCAGTGATATCACCTCCTATTTCCAGGTTTGGTTCCACCTAACCATTACCTGCCTGGGAAATACCCAAGTCTAAGTCCCACAAAAGTTTCACCAACTATGGTCGGAAGGTCTCTTGGTGGCTGGGGAATCCCTAAGCCCCTTTCTAGTGTAGATGAGATAGCTGATTCTTCACTTCTAGGTCAGGGATACGGTATCCACTATAGACCACATTATTAAGTGGGAAAACAAACAAACAAACAAACGAACGAACATCCCCTAACCCAACTTCTTAGCCTTTTCACAGGACTGCACCCCAAACCAGCTGAGGCTGTTAAGAAGAAAGACAGGCTGCACCCTAAACTAGCTGAGGCCAAGGGAAAGTGTAGGGGCTGAGTTTGGGACAGTCAAAAGTCACAGAAAAAAAAATTACTTTTGTCTTCATTGGCTACCCTGGGTGTACCAAAAAAACTTCAAGTTACCACATCTCAACACTAATGGGAACAAAAGAGTGGGTCCTCCCAAGCCCCAGAGCCTCCAGCTCACCCTTGAGCATTTCCAGAAGCTCCCCTAACTGATACCAGGCCCTCCTTCCATTTCCCCAACTACTTTAGTCTTGTAGATTAGGAAAGCTTTCTTCGTTTGCTTCAGTTCTCCCTCACTGAACCCAAATCCCTCTCTCAGCTCAGCTCTGGGGCACCCTGGTTATTTTTATAATAGTCACTTTCCCTGAAAAAGAATGCCTCTTACCCAACTAAGAACCCTTCTCGGGCCCTTCCCATTAGATATCTCGAGAACGAGAGCCCAGCCCTGGATACCCTAGGGGCCCGGGCGTCAGGACTGACCCCTCCTCACCTCCCGGCAGATGGGCTTACCTCACCCGCTGCCCCGGCCCTTTCCCCCAGCTCCTCCCTCTCGGCGCAGCTCAATGAGGCCTGCCCCTGCCCTCACACCAGCCCCGGGCCTCGCGCGCAGGCCCCCAGCCTGGCCGTCTGCAGAACCCGGACTCACCAACTTCGGGATCCCAGCCCGCCTGGCCCCCTCCTCAGCGCCCCCATTAGGCCTGCCGGGGCCCGGCCCCCTTTTCCCCTCTCCAGTGGGCCACTCTAACCCCATCGCTGAGGCCCAGACCCGCCTCTGATCTCAGGCCAGGCCGCTTTCCTCTCCCGGGCGCCTCCGCCCCTGCCCTTCTGGGCTCCATCAGCCCGGTACCTGGGGCTCCGTCTCCCCCGTCGGGCCCAAGCCTGTGTCGAACAGACAAACAGCCGCAGCTCAACCAAACCCTCCTGCCCCTCCTCCTCCTCCTCCTCGCCCTGGGCGGGGGCCCCGGCCAATAGCACGATTACCCGCCTACCATCAAGGGTGGGCTCTGTGTGCACTGATCCGCCAATCCTTTGGAGAAAGGCGGGTCTCTTTCGGCGCTGTCACCAACGAGGACGTGCCAGGGATTGGATAGGCGGGACCCTAGGCCAATATGGAGAGGGAATCCTTGAAGATGGACGAGGTGAGGAGCCATTGACGAGCGAGCTCCCCGAGACAGGGGGCGGTACACTGTCGACAGGCGTATATAATCACGAATAAAACCGCGACACCCTCGTGACCCCGCCTTTTGACTCATAAACATCTAATCAGGTGAGTGACGGAGGCGGGTCACAGTAAAACTTTAACCAGTACTGCGAAAATTCGGAACTTGAATGGCAGGTAGGGCGGAGTTGACGGAAGCCTTAGGAAGGCCGCTACTGACCTTCGCCCCTCCCCCCGGATTTGGCAGGAGCTGACTCTAGCGCCCCTCCCTCTATGACCAATGCACGGGCGTAAAGGGAACTATTTCTTCTAGGGATCCGGAGTTTGGGAATTTAAGTAGCCTTCAAGTCGGTTTTTAGTGGGGCCGCAGAGGACAGGAGATTTTGGGGTGGCCTGCGGGCGGTCTGAGATGTTTTTTTGCGGGGTGAGACAATGGTAACTCCAAGAAGCGGTAGCTTGGGGAGGCTTCAGCCCCTTCATAATAATTTTTCATGCACACAATTGATATGAATCGTATTATAAAGGTGAATAAAGTATCTTTAGAAAACTTCGCTGTTTGTGATATACAACTAAAAGGAAAAATGACAAGGTTACTGGGAAATGCAACATCGAGGCAAACTCATGGAGACCACTTCCAACCATACTGCTGTTCCCAAGCCCTTCCTAACACTGAAATTCCTAAACTGCCGCGTTGAGTGTATGTGTATGTAGTATGTGTGTATGTTGCGGGGGAGGAGGAGGAGGAGGAGGAGGAGCAGGTTTGAGGGGAAAGTAGGAAACACAAAGGCTTCAGTTTCTCCAGATGTAAAATGCGGCAATAGTCCTCCTCACTTTGCCCTATCCCAGTTGCATCATAAAAGCCAAACTAAGATGGGGTGGGTAGCCCTGCACAGAAAGATTAGGAAAAGTGGGGGTCTGTAACCAATTATCATATATCCACATATTCTCTCACACCATTCTTTCAGTAAATAAATACACAAAAATAAAGGAGTAAAGATGAACTATAAAACTAGAAACTTTTTTTTTAATGAATTACAAACTAAATTACAAATAATGTTAATAGCAAGAACACTCAAAGGCAAGAAGTGGGAGAAGAGAGACAATCATAAAAAGAAAAAAAAATACTCTTTTTTTTTAACATTTGCATTACAAAACCCCAAGGTGCACATGGCAACAAATCCACCCACTCCCACTTAGAAACTACCATAACCTGAAATATAAATATAATTGTTCATCCTTATTTTAAAGCAATACTTTTTCCTAATGCTCCCACTCAGTCACAGCCCTAAAAAAAGTGTGAGCATTCTCAAAATGATGTTTAAACTCTAACTTCCACTCCTATGTGATGGCCTTCAGAGGAAGATAGGACCTGGCACCTGAAGAACTAAGAATCTTAAAAGGAAGAGAAAAATTCAAACACATTTCACTTGCCTCATAAGGCCGGGGTGAAGCACAATCCCTGTTCCAGAGCCGCCCAGACACTCCTTGCCCATAGAAGGGTCAGACAAGGGCACTGGGGGCAATCATTTCTACTGCAGCCTCACCAGGACTGCAGAGACTGGGAGTCTTGAGTCTCCCAGACTGTTAGGTGAAATGAAACACTAAAGCTAGGGTATAAACTGGTTGCATCTATTTTTTAAACTTAATTCTTTAAAATAGGCCCCTTCCTATGTTTTTATTTTGCTTCGTTTTCAAAAATTCCAACTTACCCCCCTGTTATCAGTTGGTCTCACAAACACAGTGGCCACAGGAGGCTTGGGGTCTCTGTCATCCCAAACACAGGAAATAATTGCAGGGCTTTCAGAGATTGGGATGGCAAATCCTCCTATGTGGGGTAGAGGGGGAACAGTCTTTTTTTTTTTCAATACCAGCCCTCCTCAGCAATGACTAAGAAGAGGGGTGGTAGAGGCTGACTTAAGTGCATCTAATACTGAAGCTTCCTTTCATTTTACCCATTTCCCCCCGGTATCCCCCTATATTCCTAGAGTTGGCTGGTTAAGAGGAGAAGGTGAATGTTAAGGCAGCCAGACAAGACAGAGGGCACATAGCCCAGAGCCAAGCCAGGTCAGGCCCCCACTGGAGGACAGTGTGAGACTGAGGGCTTAGGAAAGGACATCAGAGTCGAAGGTGGGGTACTGGCTTGGTCACATCCTGGAAGAAAGGGTGGGTCAGAGCCGCCTTTGCTGAAATCCGCTTGTTGGGGTCGTAGTGCAGCATTTGCTGGAGAGAAAGATGTATACTGACTTCAGTGATGTGATAGTAGACTAAATGGGCAGCAAGTATTCCAAGAAATTGGGAAATCAGAATTCATTTTACCCAAGGCAGAGTTCCCATTTCCCTCCTCCCTGGATCTGACTGTTCAGTTGGTGTGCCCACGGGAAGGCACAAGCAGGGGCTAGGGAAACACTGAGACCGAGAGTCCAGGGTCTCATCCTTCCTTCATTTAGGAGAAACTCTGCCCTCAGGTAGTGAATGAGAGGAAATGGGGCCCCACCCCCCCACTCTCACCGATAACAAGCTCCGTCCATCTTCATCCAGAGGAGGCACAACTTTGCTAAAATCTTGCCGGGCCCACTTGGGGAAACTCGGCTTATAATCAGGCATAGAAGTAACTCCTGGCCAAACCACCTCATCTGGGGTCCCCAGAGTCCGAAAGATCCGGAAGAGTTGGTCGATCTCAGAATCTCCAGGGAATAGGGCCCTGCGGGTCACCTGAAAATGAAGAAAGAGAAAAGGCCAAATCCCACATTGACGTCAGTCATAACTGCCCCCTATACAATGGAGGTTCCCACAGGCAGTGGTAGGTCAGCAGGGCCCCATGACTCCCTCCCCAGGGCCTTTCATGGGGTCAGTTACACAGAGCCTGAGACAATGAAGTTCCTTCATCTGTCTCCTCGCCCCCTCCTTCCTTCCCCCAACCATGGCTTTGCAGATCCCCAAGGCTGGGTGGGGCTGGGAGAGGGTGAATGTCTGGGGTGCCACTGACATGTAGCAAAGGGATCCCAAGCCACTCACGGGGTATGGGGTAGACACTGCGGTCATCCCCCCTCCTTGTGATGCAGCCACTTCTAGATAGGAGCACAGCGGGCAGAGACTGTGTCTTCCATTTCTTCTATGTTCCCCACAGCACTTAGCATGGTGCTGGGTACACACTAGGTGCTTAACAAATATTTTTGGATGAATTGAGAGAGGAATATGGGCAATTATAAGGTAATGCACTGGGGGATAAATGTCATTTTATATATATAGATAGATAGGCTAATGGTCTCCAAGCCCCAGTTACAACCCAGATAAAGGACCATAAAACATATTGCTGATTTGATTTGAAAACTTGGCCCACTCCACCGTTGTATTAAAGGGGATGAGAAATCCCATATAACACTGGGTCTCAGGGATCCTTCAGTCTGAAAAGCCAGACATTGAGTGAGGGGGGACATGATCTTAAGTCTGTAATTTAAATAAAAGGTGTGGATAAGGTGAACACAGGTGGCTTCATCACATTCCTGGCACCCTACAATAAGGTCTCCGGGTCAAATGAAAGAAGCATTAAATGGCATTAATTCTCCAAAATACATGCAGACTGAAGCTAAAGCAGCTGCAGATATGATTTAGCTCAATTCAGGGATAAGAGATGTATACTGAATGCTAAGGCTGCTTGAGGATATACTAATATTGTGATTGACACCAGGGACAACAGTCCTGTCCTTTCCCCATCACCCACCTTGGTGCTACTCTAGAGAAAGAACCCCGTGATAATAGAAGGGCCATGGGTTGGGGCTGAGAAACAGGTCTGTTGTTCTTGAATGTGGGGAGGAGTGGTCTGGGTGGAACTCAGGCATGCCTCCCGTACCATCTCAGCAAAGATGCAGCCCAGACTCCAGATGTCCACAGCTGTAGAGTAGTATTTGCAGCCCAGAAGGATTTCAGGTGCTCGGTACCACAGGGTCACCACCTGGGGACAAAAGTAGGAAGGGGAGGGGTGGTGTATGGAGCATGGAGAGTCCCACATCGACTTTGCTAACTCTTAGCCTCTTAACAAGCAGCTGCTTTCCCTCTATCCTCCCCTTCCCTGATTTCCCCTAAGTCACATCACTACATACAACTTGTTACGCCAGAATGAGCGTAGCCCATTGTTCTGGCGACCATCTTTTCTGAACCCCCCCCCAGTTTGTGACTTTCCTGGAAAACTTGAGACAAGCGGTCATAATTTTAATAACGTGGCATCCAGCTCTCCTGGCTTGGGTTTTAGCAAAACCCAGTTAGCCTCACAGTATGAACTCTGTGTATACGCTAAGACCTCTTGAGGTGTCAGAAATACTTTCCATCTAGTGAGAGAGAAACTGCTGTCCAAATATTTTTAGTAATTTTGTGAATGTCCTTGTTGACACCTCCCAGGGGGAGCAGAGAAGAAATGCAGAGAGGGACTGACCTCATGGGTGTAAGTACGAACAGGGACTCCAAAGGCTCTGGCTAGTCCAAAATCTGCTAGCTTGATGGCCCCCTCTGCGTTGATAAGCAGATTCTGAGGTTTGAGGTCTCGGTGCAGGACACGATGAGAATGGCAGAAAGCTAGGCCCTGGAGCAGCTGGAACAGATAGCTCTGACAATGGAGAGAGAGAGGACTGTGTTTCTTTATCACACTGAGCAGATTAGGGTCTGCTCTGTGCCTCCAAAGTTCTGCTAAAGCCTTTACTACGTTAGATTATAATTACATGTTTACAAGCTATTTCTCTCACTGGACTGTCAGCCCAGTGAGGATAAGGACTAGGTCTTACTTAGTTTTGCATCTCTAAGTACATTGAAGGTGTTCAATAAATGTGTGTACATTGAAGGTGTTCAATAAATGTGTGTTGAATACACATTTGTTGATAGATTGAAAGTACTCAGGGAGTAAAGAACCCAGCCCTAAAACAGATAATAGAGACCCACTGGCTATTTCTCCCACCAAACAGGTGGAAGGGCTTTTTTTGGAGGAATGTACCAAGTGCCCTCAAGTCCCATTTATCTGAGTTTCATCTGACCTTCTACCTGAGCTGCTTAGTTGACTCACTAGAGTTTCAACTTCTTTAACTCTGCTGCCCAGCCCTAGGGTTAATAAGCATAATGCGCAGTGAAAGAGCCACAAAAGAAAGGTGTGTGTGTGTGTGTGTGTGTGTGTGTGTGTGTGTGTGTGTGTGTAGAGGGTTGAGGGCTAGGAAGGAAACCAAGATCACAAATCATCACTCAGTCTGAATTGCCTTCAGTACCCCACCCCCAAGACATGCTTGTGTTGGGAAGTTGATTAGAAGGATTACCTTGATGAGGGGAAGAGGAATGCCAGTAAGAGTAGAGGCATCCATGAATTTCTTGAGATCCTGGTGCAGAAATTCAAAAACCAGGTAGAGTTTGTTTTCTGTGTGGATAACATCCAGCAGTCTAAGGAAGGGAGGTCCAGGAATGGAAGTGAGGGAAAGAAATGCCCAGACTACACAGACAGAAGGCATCCTCCTTTACAGTCAGGCACCTCCCAGGTATATATACTTACTTGACAATATTAGGGTGGTTAAGCTCCTTAAGCAGAGAGATCTCTCGTATGGCAGTACTGGGTACACCCTCTGTCTCACTTGGAGAGGTTGGGAAAGCAGAGATGGGAATGTGGTTACAAATATTCCTTTTCCCCCAGCCCAGTCATTCTTTTGCCCCCAAGGAGACACCACCCCAGCATCCCCTAAGAAAGTGAGAGGAAAAAAAAGGGTGCTGTAGAAGCTCATCCATGCGTGGACAGTAAGTGGCTTTGGGACATATTAAGGTCATTATTTCTTTTTTTCTCAAGAGTAGGTAAGTAAAGCCTCCTGGTGAAGGGGAAGGGAGAAGGTAACAGAGGAGAAAAAATACGGGAGTAGCAGCACCCAGCCCTCCTAGAGGGGCCGGTGAGGTTCAACTGCCATTCTTTAGAAAGAGGGAGAGAATTCTAAGATGAGGGTGGGGCTGGGACATTAAGGAGGCTCTTTCTTCAGAAGGGTACTCTTCACCGGTTCCCACAAAACCCAACTCCACGGGGGGTCCTGGACCCTATCTCAGTGGCCTCCTTCCTCTTCCTGGCTGTACATTTGGGGGCATCACCCGGCTTTGGGGAGCAAGTTTCCCAAGGATTCAACAGTACCCTATAATCTCCAGAGAGAACCCCTCTACACTCCTTCAACCCACCTCTCCACTTCAAAAGTCCCTCCCTGCTACCTTCCGGTCCCTGGACGTCTACCCGCCTGTTGGGGTGGGGGTGGGGGTCACTCAGGGAGCTCCCGAAGTAGGAGTCCGGGTATAGAAGCCACTCACGTGTCCAGGCGGATTTTTTTAAGCGCCACCACTTCTCCGGTCAGCTTGTTTTTGGCTTTGTACACAACTCCGTACGTGCCCTCTCCGATCTTTTCCACTTTTTGGAAGTTCTCCATGAAACGCTAATGAGTCGGGTCAGCCCGGCCCTGGAGCGGGGACCCGGGAACCCTGCTGAAAGCTCGCCCCTGCTCTCGGGAGCGGAGGAGGGGGAAACAGGGGCCCAGCACCACTGTCCCAGGTCCGGATGGAACGCAGTGCAGCTCTCGCTCTTGTCAATTTGTCCAACTTGAAACAATGTTGCCGCCTCCCCGCCAGTTCCCTACCACCACCAGAAGCCCCGCCTCTCCTTCCCGCGTTTCACTGGCTCCGCCCCTAGCCCTTCCTATTGGTCAACGTCAGAGAGGACGGGGCTAACCCAGCGCCCCACGCCGCAAATGACTCCGCCCCGCGCAAGTTCGGTTCTGAGGGGCACTAAGACAAGTTTCTCCCTCTTTGGGGAGGCTAAACACCTCTTTCCAAGTACCTGACTTAGGCTCGAGTTTCCTACCTGTGTCCTGAATTTGTAGGGGTTTCCTGATCTCGCCGTTTTCACAGCCCTTAGGGAAAATGTCTATCGACCTGAGATTAAATTCCACCTGGCCCAGGGGTGCTCCTTTGAAAAGCAGGAAGCTGGGAATTTCATTGTAAGGGTTTCCTGGGCCTCGCAGGAGCCGTTGCCTTCGCCTCTCAGCCTGTTCTGGTACTGTCTTTGTTTCTGGATGCAGGGTCTCTGTTTCTATCTTTTTAAGAGTTCCTAGTTTGACTCAAACAACAGATTGATTCACTGTCCCATGATAAATTGGTACGTGTTACGTAGCTGCCTTTCAGTCAATTCTTTTTCAGTCAAGATGAGAATGACCTAGTGAAACCAGAAACTGTCATTGAATAGCGGGATGTCCAGGGATCAGGATCCCCTGTCAGTTCTGCCTTTCTCTGGTCCTCCTGCCCCGCCCAGGCATCCCCTGGGGGGAGAGGAGGAAGGGCTATGCAAATGAGCACCCCTTTCTTATATAGGGGCTTGTCCTAGGCACCCCCCCCTGCACCTTTGGTTGCTGGAAGGAAGACAGGATGGATCTGATGCAGAGAAAATGCCTTCTCCATGTGGCTGTGATGGGCGCTCTCATGGCTGTGGGGGTCACAGAAGGTGAGTGTGGGGTGTGTGGATATGAATAAGTGTGAATTTGAGGTTGCACATCTTCTCTCCTTTTCCCTTCTTACTGGCAACACTTCAGGCTTCTCCCACGCATTTGATTTAGTGAGGACATGGGCGCCTGAACTCCCTCCCTCCCCACATGGAGTTTTGGGACTGATCTTGAAAATACTCCCATCTGCTTGAAAGGGCAAGAAGATAATGGGTTTTCATGGCCCGAGTTCTGAGACCCCCTGGGCAGTGAGCTGGAGCAGGGGCTCCAAGAGGGTAAAATGAGTTGGGAGACTCTTTTAGGCAGTGTCCCAGTTATTAGGATAGGATATTTACAATGAGGAGTAAAAGAACGTGGTATTGGATAAGAAGGGTGAGGGGGCACCACCTCCCCTCTTTGGGATGGGGATGGGTGAACACAGCCCAGGCTTTTGTCCTGGGGCTGGAAGAGACAGGCAGAGGGGTCTCAGCTGAGCATCACATGAAAGGGCTCTGGGGGATTGGGGCCTCGTGACAGGAGCAAAGGAGTGGGGGTGTGGGGTGGTGAGAGGGTCTGGAATGTCCCGTGCTACTCTGAGGAGGGAGGGTTGGGAGTGGAGAAAGAATGGGGCATCTTATGATTCTCTTGCTCTAGTGGTGAGGTGCTCAATGAGATGATTCCAGATCCTCCCCCAGCAGAAACAAATTAAGCTTCCAGTACAAATTAGAAACGGAACGAGGATAGTTTCTGCTGTGCTGAAATACATACATCATATCCCAATTCCCTCTGTCTTGTTCTAGATCACCTGATCTCACAGACTTTGAGACTGTTCTCCCTGGTCTGACTCTCTTATTCATGCTGCTGTTTCAACTCTTTCTTTTACTGTGTTCCTTAATGTATTCTGGAAATATTCTAGTTATACTTGTCCACCTAAGGTTCTTAAAAAATTGTGCTTACTTTTTGGATCCTGATTTTTAAAATCATAAGAAGCCAATTTTAGATATTCATGAAATTTTATGTGGACTGGTTTTGATAATTTTGTGTAGTGTGCAGTGACAATGCTTATTCAATAAAATTTTTTTTTTTACAAATTCAAACTGAGTTTATAGCATTAAAATAACAAGATGTCTGGGATTTGCTTTTAAATACTTTAGTCAAAAAATAAGCAGTAACAAAGGATAGATAAAACAAATGTGGCAAAATGTTGATAGTTGTTGGATTTGGGTAAGGCATATGGAGATCCACCATATCCCTTTTTCTCAGATCACTCAGTCAGTCAGTTGCCATAATTTTGTCTACTGTGTCCCCAACCCCAACCTCTGCCTGCCTCTGATCAATCTCCCTCACTGCTTGCCATAGTGATCCTTCTAAAACACAAATCTGATCACTTTAAAAAAGATCCTGAAGGGAATTTTATGTATATGTATTATATCTTTAAAAAAAAAAACAAAAAAACAACAACGAACAAAAAATTCTGAGGTGGCCTTGCCTACAGGATAAAGGCCAAACTCCTTCGCTTGGCACTCCAAGCCCCCAAACTATCTTCTTGGCCTCATCTCGCACATTGTGCATCAACCACATCGCTAGTAGTTCCCTATCATGCCATGCGTTTCCCTGTCTCCATGCATGCTGCTCATGCTGGGCCTTCTGCCTGGAGTGCTTAATCCCACAGGCCAACTCCTCATTGAAGTCTTTCCCAATCCAGTAGAATGGAACTAATCTGTTTAGTCTGTCATTTTGTTGCACTTCATGTATGTCTGGCTATGGCTCAGATTAAACAGCGCCTTGAATTATAGTAATTTATGTATAGTAATTTATGTCTATTTCCTATACTTTACCTTGAATCCCTTCAGGGCCATGTCTTATTCGCTTCTTAAACCCTTTGAACCTAGCACAGTGCCTAGAACATGGTGGGTATTCAGTACATTAAAGTGTACTTTGAATGTGAGAATGAGTGGAGTGACATGGGATAGTGTTATTCCCTGAGAAGGGACTGAGTGAGGATCCTAGTGCCCTCATGGTACCTTCCTTTTAGGACCCACAGACTGGGACTGGCTTGGTGTATCGAGGCAGCTCAGAACTAAAGCCTGGAATAGGGAGCTGTATCCAGAGTGGACAGAAAAACAGGGACCTGACTGCTGGAGAGGTGGGAACTTGGCAATTTCTGGGGAGGGCATGGTGGGAATGACGTGGGAAGAGGAGCAAGAGCTGGGTTGAACTTAGCTTGGGAAAAGAGGAAGGAGAAAGGTATATGGGGAGGGGAAGCCATGGAGTCCCAGCTGATGCAGCTGCCCTTCCCAGGTGGCCCGGTGGCCCTGAAGGTCAACAATGATGGGCCTACGCTGGTCGGGGCAAATGCTTCCTTTTCTATTACCCTGCACTTCCCTGAAAGCCAAAAGGTGCTGCCAGATGGGCAGGTCATCTGGGCCAATGACACTATCATCAATGGTGAGTACCTCTCTACTCCAGGCCCTCATTCCTAGGGCTCAGATTACCTGGTATTCCCAATGACCTCAGGGAATGCCCCCTTACCCTCTACTTTTTTTTTTAAACAAATTATATATGTAATGCATATTCATTTTAGAAAAATTAGAAAACACAAATAAAAAGGGAAAAAATTATAGTCCCCAAAATGGGGGACAGAAGACCCAGTGGACCAGAACAGAAGTTGAATGGACTTGAATGTAAACTTATTACTAGTATGTGACCCTGGGCAAGTTACTTGTTTTGTGCTTCCATTCCTTTATCCAAAGAATGGGGATGATACCTACTTTGAAAGGTTGTTGTAAAGATCAAAATGTGGTAATACATAAAGATGCCTGCCCTAGCCTATAGTAAAGGCTCAGTAAATGCTAGCTGGTTATTTTTATTTTTATTCCACTAGCTAGAGCAAATCACTCTAAACATTTTGATATATGGTCTTCCAATCTCTTTCCTATGTAAGTACATACATATGACTCTTTAATTGTAGTTTCCATTCTTCCCACTACCATCCAAAATGTATTGCACAAAGGGGAATGTACTTTATAGTTAGGGGGTATTCCCAGAGTCCTTCTCTGGGAGCCACGTTGGGGGTATTGGTGTACAGAAAGGAATGCCAGTGTTTGAAGGTGACTCTGTATCTACCTTTCAGGGAGCCAGGTGTGGATAGGCCAGCCAGTGTATCCCCAGGAACCTGATGATGCCTGCATCTTCCCTGATGGGGGGCCCTGCCCATCTGACCCTTGGTCTCGGAGGAGAAGATTTGTTTATGTCTGGAAGACCTGGGGTGAGGGACTCCTTGCTTATTTGGATTCACCTCTTCCTACCTAATCCCCTTTCCTTTTGGTCCCATCCTTTAAGCTCTGTTATTTTCCCTAATCATTTTCCCCGTGGCTCCTTCCTCTTCCATAGCACCTAGCCCCCTCCAACTCTCTCTATTATAGTTCTCTCTGGGAGCCCTTTCCCAATTGTAGTCACATCCGATGGAACCATTCATTAGGACCCCTTTCCTGCCCCCTATATCACAACCTTCCATAACACCCTCTAAAATAATCATCCTCGATACGCCTCTTGGCCTTCCTTCTCTGGTGCCCTGTCTCTAATCCTGCCCCTCAGTCTTCTAACCAGTAACCCCCACCCCTCTCTACTTTTCTTTCCAAAACCTTCAGGCCAATACTGGCAAATTCTGGGAGGCCCGGTGTCAGGGCTGAGCATTGAGACAGGCACAGCATTGCTGGGCACACACACCATGGAAGTGACTGTCTACCACCGCCGAGGAGCCCAGAGCTATGTGCCCCTCGCTCAGGCCAGCTCTGCCTTCATCATTACTGGTAAGGATTTAGGAAGGGGCAAGGCCAGTCCTAGGGCAGAAGGTGGGGAGGCTTGGCTGGACTTGAAGGGGAAAGGAGAAATTGTGTATAATCTTAGAGGGGCAGAGCCAGGAAGACCTGGGCAGAGGAATGTGGGGCTTGGAGCCAGTGAAGGGATAGTCAGCTTGGGGCTGGAGGGTGTGGCTGTGAAAGGAGAAGCTGTGGCCCAGGCGTGGTTCTCACTTTTTCTGGTTCCAATCCTAGACCAGGTGCCCTTCTCTGTGAGCGTGTCCCAGATGCAGGCCTTGGATGGAGGGAACAAGCGCTTCCTGAGAAATCAACCTCTGCTCTTTGCCCTCCAGCTCCATGACCCCAGTGGATATTTGTCTGGGGCTGACCTCTCCTATACCTGGGACTTTGGAGACAGCACTGGGACCCTGATCTCTCGGGCACTTGTGGTCACTCACACTTACCTAGAGTCTGGCCCGGTCACTGCCCGGGTGGTACTTCAGGCTGCCATTCCTCTCCTCTCCTGTGGCTCCTCCCCAATTCCAGGCACCACAGATGGGCTAGCGCCGACAGAGGTCATAGGTACTACACCTGGTCAAGTGCCAACTGCAGAGCCCTCTGGAGCCACAGCTGTTCAGGTGCCAACCACAGAGGTCATAGGTACTACACCTGGTCAAGTGCCAACTGCAGAGCCCTCTGGAGCCACAGCTGTTCAGGTGCCAACCACAGAGGTCATAGGTATTACACCTGAGCAGGTGCCAACCTCAGAGGTCATAGGTACCACACTTGCAGAGATGCCAGCTACAGAGGTCATAGACACTACACCTGTGCAAGTGTCAACTGCAGAGGGCATAGATATTACACCTGAGCAGGTGCCAACCTCAGAGGTCATAGGTATCACACTTGCAGAGATGCCAGCTACAGAGGTCATAGGTACACCTGAAGTGTCAACTGCAGAGCCCTCTGAAACCACAGTTGCACAGGTAACAACTACAGAGCTGGTGGAGACCACAGCGGGAGAGGTATCCACACCTGAGCCTGAGGGTCCAGATTCCAGCCCATTCATGCCTACTACAGAAGGTATTACAGGTAAGAGGGTCAGTGTGAATGAGGTTTATTGAGGTGGGGCATTTGTTACTAAAGAGCTGAAAGACATACCCAGGACCCAGATGTTACCCAATCCTTTGCTTAACAATAGAGTCCCTTGGGGCAGGCTGAGTGGCTCAGTTGGTTAAGAGTTAGCTTAAGAGCACGAGCTCTGAGCAACAGGGCCGTTGGTTCGATTCCCACATAGGCCAGTGACACTGCGCCCGAGCTGAGCTGCCGCTCAGCTGCCAACAGGTGGCAGGATGGCTCATGGTGGTGGTGGTGGGGGAACAAAACAAACAAAAAGAAACAATGGAGTCCCTTCAGAGCCCTCACTGGTTTTAAAGCACTCAAGTCCCTCTTAATGACATGAAATAGATGTAGAGTTTAGGAAGCCAAGGTCTTCCCTAGGTCCTGGGGAGAGAGCTTATTGCCTGTCTATCCAAGGAGAGCTGTTCCCTGAGGGGCATGCCAGGGGACAGATTGTGATCATTTACATAATGTTTCTATCTCATTTTCTGTTCAAGTATAATTGCATAGAAATCTTTCCCAGATTTTGACACCATTTTCTAGCCCTGGACTCCTATCCCAAAGCAGGTCCACCTTGAATTGTGGTAGGAACACTGAAAAGGGAGGAATGAAATAGTGACCTTTAGATGAGTTAACATATATCAAGTGTCTAGCCCAGGACCTGGCACCGTGTGGAGTGTGATAAACATTTGGGATTTTTTTGAAACTCCAACACTACCCCCGCGTGACTCTGGAGCAGTGATTTCTCCTTCAGGGCCTCAGTTTCCTTATTTATAAAAAGAGATTTCCCAGGCCTTGTCTGATTCCAAGCCTGGATTCAGTTGATTTGGGTCTACCCGGGAAAATGCCTGCTGGACCTGTTTCCAGGTGAATCATATGTCTCTTGACTTTGCCTGTTCAATCCTCTTCTGCTAGGCTCCCAGAGCCCCCTGCTGGATGACACAGCCACCTTAATGCTGGTGAAGCGACAAGTCCCCTTGGATTGTGTTCTATATCGATATGGTTCCTTTTCCCTCACCTTGGACATTGTCCGTGAGTCTTGCCTATAGTGGGGGCTGATGGAGGGAGGTGTGTGCTGCTTCGGGCTGCCAGTGGAAGCATACTGTGGAAGGAGTTACTCACCTGGACAAAAATACCCAAGTCTCAGGGTTTTCATCTGAAGGCACAGGAATGAGATTAGGGAAAGAGCCTAGGGCTTTTCTATCTGGACATTTGGGGAGTTCTGATAGAGGAATCCCAGACTTAAGATCTTGCAACTTTGCAGAGGGTATTGAGAGTGCTGAGATCCTGCAGGCTGTGCCATCCAGCGAAGGGGATGCATTCGAATTGACTGTGTCTTGCCAAGGCGGGTGAGTATCCTACTGGTAGCCCTGAGAACTCCTGGGTTGACTGTTGCCCTGCTCTCTGGTGTCTAGTGTTCCTTCCCAGAACCCCTGACATAAGATGACACCTCTCCCAGGCTGCCCAAGGAAGCCTGTATGGACATCTCATCGCCAGGGTGTCAGCCCCCTGCCCAGCGGCTGTGCCAGCCTGTGGCACCCAGCCCAGCCTGCCAGCTAGTTCTGTACCAGGAACTGAATGGCGGCTCGGGGACCTACTGCCTCAATGTGTCTTTGGCTGATGCCAACAGCCTGGCAATTGTCAGCACCCAGCTTGTCATGCCTGGTAGGTACTTGGACAGAGCTGAGATAAAGAAGGGGCTATCTGGCAGGGAGCAGACACTGAAGCAATGCCTGGGATTCTACTCACAGGTCAAGAAGCAGGCCTTGGGCAGGCTCCCCTGTTCATGGGCATCTTGCTGGTATTGATGGCTGTGGTGCTTGCATCTCTGATATATAGGTGAGGACCCCACCATCCAGCTCACACTCCCTTATTCCTTATTACCACCACTCACTCTTCCTCAAAGGGAAAAGGAATCACCACTCCATTTGAGGAAGTATGGTGTCTAGGAAAGAGCCCAGGGGCCGGCCGAGTGGCGCGATGGTTAAGAGCTCGCTTGGGATGCCAGAGGGCCCCGGTTCGGATCCCACATGTGAGGGCCAGTGACACTGCCCTCTACAGCTAAGATGCTGAACAACAGCTCAACCTGGAGCTGAGCTGCCATGAGTCGCCGGCGACGGCGTAGGCTGCAGTCCCTGTGGCAGTGGGTTGCCATGGGCTACCGTGTGTAGCCAGCAGCCAGCGTGAGCGGCCAGCAGCCGCAGTGAGCGGCCGTCCAGAAGCCGGCGACTGATCTGCCTCGCCAGGGAAGAGCGCAATGATGGTGACAACTTGGGCCAGTGAAGCAACGTCCTCCACAACTAGATTGAAGAACAAAACGACAGCAACTTGTCTGTTCCCCTTCCCCCAATTCCCCAGCACTGTTCCCATCCCCGCAATTACCCAATAAAAATCTTTAAAAAAAAAAAAAAAAAGAAAAAAAGAAAGAGCCCAGACTTAGATGTTAAACAGGCCTGGGCTGCAGTCTTGCTGGTGGGACCTTGGGGGAGGTAGTTTCATCTTTCTGAGCCCCTGAAAAGTGGGAAAACTAATACCTGCCCTATGGGGCTGTTGTCAGCATTAGAGACAATGTGGACAACGCATCTGATTTTGAAGCAAGAATGCAATAAATGATGAAATTGATGACTGTTATTAGCAATATCAAGAGTGGAGGAGGTTAGGTGAACTGAGTTCTCCACTTGCAAGGACAGATCCTCAGGCCTGGAGTGCCAGGTCCTCAAAGCAGGGAAGCTCGTAGGGAGAGGGGAATAGACCGAGGTTAGCACAGAAACAAGAGAGGATGAACCCTGTCTATGAGGAGAAGGGGCGGGAGATAGGATCAAGGCCAAGTAAACCTGGGATATGGGTGTCTCCTCTTTGGAGACGCAGACAGGCTGCCCTTGTCCATTGCTAACCTGTTTCCCTTTTCTTCGCCCAATATTAGGCGCAGACTTATGAAGCAAGGCTCATCTATCTTCCTTCCCCAGCTGCCACATGGTAGCACCCACTGGCTGCGTCTGCCCCGAGTCTTCCGCTCTTGCTCCGTTGGTGAGAGCAGCCCCCTCCTTAGTGGGCAGCAACAGGTCTGAGTACTCTCATGTGATGCCATGATTTATCCAAGGTGGACAGCAATGCCTATTCTTTCCTCCAGTCTCCCCTTGGAGGCTCCCACTACCTGAAATAAATACTCAGAACCTGGTGGTGTTTTTTTTCTTGCTTCTTGGGAGAATCTGTCATTTAAGGAATGAAGGTATAAAGGAAGGAGGTATACCATTTACTTAACAGATATCCCAGTTGGGGAAAAAAGTCATTTTATTCTGATGAGGCACTTTCAGTGTATGTGTTTGTGGTGGGGTGTGTGTGTGTGTGTGTGTGTGTGTGTGTGTGTGTGTGTGCATGCGCACATGTGCATGGGGAAGAGTGGGGGTGGTGCAGGATAATAAATACTGTGAGGGTGAAGGAACACTCCCCTGAGCTGGCAGGAGGGTATGGCAGCAGTAGACAGAGCCTGGGGAGTAGAGTCCAGGGAGGTGGGTTCGAGGCCGGCTTGGAGGCCGAGGTATCCCCCTCAGCACAAGAAACCGAAGAAATTGGAGGAGCGTGGGGGTGGGCCCATGAGCATGGGCATCTGGTTTCTGTGAGTGATCTTGATCTGGAAGGGAAGGGGATGTGCTCAGAGACAGGATCTGAAGCCTTGGCGCTGGAGCCGGGAGATTTGGGGGAAGATCTGTAAGGTTCAGGGTGGGTTGCTGGGGTCCTAGAGAGGCCATGGTAGGAAGGCCAGGGGCTGAGAAATCAGGATGTGAGAGGAGGTGCACAGGGGAACTTCAGGCATCACAAAGAAGTACAAAAGCTATGGGATGGAGATTTAGGATCCATGAGTCCAAGGGTTCCGTTTTTGGCAGGCACAGGCAATACTCACTGTACAGGGTGTCTGCATCCAAGGTTCTCCGTCAATTTGCATGGGAAGGGTTTTTGTGGTGCTGTGGGAGGCCAAGGAAGATTGGTGGAGATTTCTTTCCCAACTGAATACCAAAACTGTTTCTCAGGTTGGCTTTGAGACCCTTCAGTACTGAGGAAGAGCTAGTACAGCCCCTCTCCACTATTCCCATGACCCTGGTGCTCTAGGCCCCATTCCTTCCCGCAGAGCCCCTACCAGAGTTTTCCTTACTGGAAGGTGATCTCAGAGCACTTGGCCAACCGATGTCCAGCATTCTTGAGCTTGGTATAGATCTGGCCCATCTCAATTGCACCCTCCAGCCCTACGACTTCCAGCCGCTTGTCACTTAGGTCTGAGGATGGAAAGTAGCGCGATAGGTTTGGCAGAAGCAGGGTGCCTCCAGAGAGTCACACCTTCCCCTTAGGCCCACCCACTTAGCAACCAAGGCTCTCCTCTCACCTGGTACACTGGTTTTCAGGATGTCCGGGTCAGTGATGACTTTAGCTGCAGTACCTAAGGCCTGGTTGATCCCATGGATGTCGCCATGGGGTCTCTTGGTATCACCCCAGAGGTTGGAGCCACCGTGCATGCTAGGGATGTTCAGTACTGCGATGCCTTCTAGAGACAGGGTACTCAGATCCAGTGGTTTCCCACAAATCTGAGGGGAGGAGAAACAGATCCTTACCTCTCTCATAATCAAGGATGTGACCCTTCCTTCCACCAGATGACAAACTGGGAAGGCCAGGATTTGGAGTTTTGCGAGGAATGGAGGGAAATGGGGACTGGTATATCTTGAGAACTTGGGAAATCAGAATTGGAGAACTAGGGGGTCAAAGTAGAGGTTCAAGATATGGGAAGTTCTTGAGGGTGCCTGTGGAGGGAGAAACTAAGGTGTAAAAAACTGAAAAGGAGATAGGGTTAGGTCTTATCACACCCACCTCAACTGTCAAAGACTCCTCCAGCTTTTTGCACGTTGAGAAGATGGATTCAGATGTGGCAAATTCGAAATACCATAGCTTGTTCTTCATTCTGTGTCAGCCCCAATACAAGGCCCAGTAGGGAAGGGACAAGTTACACAGTGCTGGAAGGTGTAGGCAAGTGACAGGGAAGGGCATCAACCTCCTGATTCCAGTTCCATGTGGAACAGGGTAGCTTTGGGTTGAGGGGTTTCCTAGAGGTGTCACTGTCGAAGTGCTCTGGTCATACTTGGCCACAAGCTGGTCCCTGCAACTATGTATGCCCACCCCACTCCCACTTTCCCTCACCTGCTGTTGAACTTCTCAGGATACTTCTCTCGCATGATGTGGAACCGGTGAGCAATAGAGGCATCCTGGGGAGTTCAGGGTATGGAAAATCAGGCTTGCCTCCTCTTAGCACAGAACTTTCTTTAACTCCCCCATTTGGGAGCAGTATGTCCCATGTTCTTTTCTTGACTCACACCACTGTACCTCACCCCCCGATTTCCCTGTGTCATAGCTCCCTTAACCTCTGCCTTCCCAGTCTGCTCTCCTCCAGCCTCTGCCTGGTTAACCTCCACTTCCTCCCTTCCCCCATGCCCCACTCCACTGACCACACCGATGGAGAAGTAGTTATTGATGATGTGAAAGGGGACTGGGTCACTCTTTTCTTCAGTTTGTTGGGGTATCACCTCCACAGACCATCGATCCATATGTACCACCTTACTCGTCTCTAAATCCTTGAGAATCTTCCCCAAATTCTGTCCCTCATACCCTAGGGATGGGGAAGAAGACAGGTTATCACTGAGCCCCAGGTCCCAGAGAGACCTCCTCTTAGTTCCCACCTCCACTAATTCCCAGAGATCCTCTGTCCTGATTCTGCATATCTTCCCAGCCCTTGCCAGTGGAAGGGCAGGGTGCTTGGGCATGGCTTCCATGGACCAATCTCTTACTGACTTTGCTGACCCCTTTCTCTACACTGTCATGGAGAATGATTGTTCCCAATGTATGTACACATCTAACAATAATGCCAAAGTTCATCTGGAAGATTAGAGAAAATAGCCAGGAAAAAAAAAATGAGTGATGAATGGAGATAATCTCTCTCAATCTCTCTCTCTCCCTCCCTCCTTCCCTCCCTCCCTCTCTCCTTCTCCCCCGACACTTTCTCTCCTCATTATAATAGATCAAATACAGTATAAAGCAATAGTGTCTAAACAGTGTGATACTGGCACAACGAATAGAATAAAAAGTTCAATAGCCGGCCAAGTGGCTCAGTTGGCTAAGAGCTTGCTCAAGAGTGCACACTCTGAGCAATAGGGTCACCGGTTCGATTTCCGGCCTGAGCTGAGCTGCCGCTGAGCTGCCAACAGGTGGCAGGAGGCTCAACTATAAAATAAAATAAAAAAATAAAGTTCAGTAGTAAAGAGTACTTGGTGTAAAAGTCACTCCTCATACCAAAATAAATTCAAGATGGAGGGGGTAGGTAGGGGGAGAGGAAGAAAAGGGTAAAGGGGGTCAAACATATGGTGATGGAAGGAGACTTTGGGTGGTGAACACACAATGCAGTATACAGATGATGTATTATAGAATTGTACACTTTAAACTTATATAATCTTATAATGTCACCCCAATAAATTTAATAAAATTTTTTTAAAAAGAAAAATATTCAAGATGGATCAAGAATTTAAATGTAAAGAAAGGAAGCAGAATTTGTATTAGAAGAAAACATGAGTGTTTTAATAATCTGAGTGGAAAGGGCCTTTCTAAAGCTTAATATAAAAGTAGGAGCCACATGGAGTATAGTGTGGGAGTGGAGTCAAGGGATTTGTAATAGATATGAATGATATTGGGGGGAAATGGGGCGGCGGATTGGGGGAGGGGGGTTGTCACTTCGAGAGGTAAAAAGTATAAGTATTGCACTGTGTTGTACAGCTGAAACTAATTCTAAAAAATGTGTATTTCATAATAAAAAATAATGTAATAAAAAAAAGTAGGAGCCAAAAAAAGGGAAAGATTGATAACACAATTATATTAAAATTAAAAACTTCTGTATAGTTAATGAATAACACATACCTAGAAACAAACAAACAAACAAAACCAAATACAAACCGGGAAAAAATATCTACAGCACATATAACAGATTAACTTCCCCAGCATTCAAAAAAAGTTCACAATTCACCATATTTATAAAGTCAATAGAAAAATGGGCAAATAACAGAAACAAGCCAATCACAGCAGAATACAAATGACCAATATGCATATTAAAGATGCTTAATATTATTAATTTAAAGAATTGTAAATTAAAACAATTAACTTTTTGTTGCTTATCAGATTGACAAAGTATGAAGATATTAAGAAAACCAAGTGTTAAGGACATTATGAATTAACTGGCACTCTCATGTGCTGTTAGTTGGAGCATAAATTGGTATTTCATTTTTGGAAGGCAATTTGGCAATTTTTATCCAAATGTTATCAAATTTTATCCAGACATATCCTTTGACACAGCAATTCCACTTTTAGGAATTTCGTCTACAGAAACTAACACACATGTGCACAGAGATGGATGTACAAGGAAGTTTGGCTGAGGTACTTTCTAAAACAGCAAAAAATTGGAAACAATCTAAATGCCCATCAATTGGGGGAGGTTATATACATTATGGCAAATCCATGCCATGGAATATTGTGCAGCTATTGAATACAGAATGAAATCTATGTGTATTAACATGGAATGATCTGTAAGACATATTATTCAATGAAAAAAGAAAAACCAGAACAATCTGGGTAGCATGATCCCATTCATGTTTATTTAAAAGTTGTGTGTGTTATGTATGTGTGTGTGCATATAAAAACAGAAAAATTAGTGCAAATAGGAAACAGTTGTTATCTCTGGGAGGTAAGGGGTAGGAAGAGGAAACCTGTACATGAAGATTTACACATTTTATTTTTTAAATTTTTTTACAGTGAAAATGTACTGATGTATTATTTGTGTATTTTTAAAAGAAAATAATCAAATGTAAAATGTTCACTCTTAGAGCCAGCAATTCCACGTCTAGAAATCTCTCCTAGAGAAATTCTCACATCTGTGTGCAGAGACAGATGTGCAAGGGTGTTGACTGCAGCATGGTTTGTAATAAAAAAACTGAATGCTACCCAAATGTCTATCAATAGAGGACTGGGGAAATAAATTATGACATAGTCACACAATGGAATGCTATTCAGTAATAAAAAGGGCAAGGCAAACCTCTTTATATTGAAATATAATGATAACTAAGATGAACTGTTTAGTTTAAAAAAAGAAGAAA